ATTAAATTTAGAAAAAATTACTTTATTTAATAAACCTAATTTTATCTTATAAATCCTACCCTATGTCTTACTATTTAGTAATTATAACTTTTTATCCTCTTAATACTTTTTTTTTATCCTATTAATTACTATAGTATATTTTACTACCTATAGTAAATTTATTAGCTATTTTATTTAAGCCTTAATAATTAGTAAGGGAAAGCTATAAAGGGAAAGTTAAATAGGCTAATAGTATTAAATAAAAAAGTATATTAAAGAATTAGTTATATTTAAAACTAAGTTTTTAGTTAAATAAAGCTTTATTAAGCTATAAAGGTTTTAAATATAAAGCCTCTACCTAGTATATTAATTTAAATTATACTTAGTAATCTTGTTAAGAGAAATAGCCTAATAAATCGGGACCTAAGGTATTGATATATTGATATTAAGAAGTCTCTGCGTCTCTTCTTATTGTTGACGAACCCGCCTCTCTGCATGTGCCGAACTCTCAGATTCATTAAGAATTAATTCCAAGTCCATCATACCCCGTTTCCTTTTCGGCGCCTGTGTGCTGGTTGTGGAAGAGATATCTCTTGTGAGCATCGAGTCTGATACATGGCTTGGTCCTGTGACCGTACTACCAGGGGAAAAGGCCGCAATGTGGCAATCCTTCTCGTCGATCTCCAACCCAGGTAGTTTCCACTCGTAGTGCTCCAAATGGTCGCTAAACTTTTCAACTTCGAGAATAATATTGCTCACTGAGTTCTGGCAAACCTGCCGTTCAAAAGGCCTGTTACGCGTAAAATCAAAAGGCTTCAGTTGCTGCTCAACTGCCCAACCTGTCGTGATCCGATGCCATTTAAAGATGGACTGCGAGGTTTTTTGACGCTTTAAAGCTCCAATAAATAAGTCAAGCTTTTCTTTGAGCAGGCTTGTATTGTCTGATGTTGTTATGGCACCGTTCCAAGCGGTAAATAACCGATGACGCGAGACCTGGCCACGACCCTGTATGGCAGTGTCATAATTTTGACTTAGTGCTGGCACCTCGATATGTTTCTTCGGGGGACCTGAGATTTGGTTTTTGGGTATACCATTTGTCGCGAAGGATTCATTCAGGACAAAGATACAGACCTTAGTCCTATAATATGTCACGGTCGGAATCTCCCTGACAAATACCAGTTGCTTGTCAGATACTCCCCACGTATTGGTCGCCCGAACGGTGTTCCATGGCCACCTTGTCTCCAAAGGGTCTGCTCGCTCTCTTAAATCATATGCCGTTGCCACCCTATCTATGGACGATGATGTTCGGAGGAAAGGCATCTTCAGTTCATTCCTCCCAATCGTGTACATAGAGTGAATACGAGTAATGAATAGCCGTGCTGTAGGCCACATGTATGACCGGAGCACAATTTGTGCCTGTGTATCGTCGTCTGGATCTGCTTCTGTCAAAGCTTTCCAAACAATACCGTACTCAGCTCCTGATGTTGTGTCAGTACGGAGGCAAAAGTTGAATAGACATGCGCCCAGGTTATCTTCAGCAGACATTTTGAGAAGATCACTAAACGCATCAATCCTTTCGACAAGACGAGCTTTCTCAAGCTCGTGTATATGTCCCAGTGCTTCAGTTGCGGACCGAACTGAATCTGAGATAAGTCTCTGCGAGACTGCAAGGTAACTCAACTCCCTGAATGGATTCCAGTCCGAGTTCAGATAGAACACTGTTGTGACAACAACATAGAAAGTCTCTTCCGGTTGCACAATATCTGACAAATCCCGATCGGTATCGGTCCACAAGAGCTCTAAGTCATTTAGAAGACGGCCTGTCATACGGCAAGCCCCCTTGAGATTCGCAATCAGGTCAGATATTAGATTGCCAGTGGCGTAGTTAGTCAGTTCTGTGCGGAGAAACTCCTCGACATTATTGTGGGTGATTACCAAGCCCCGACATTTAGAGCGGACAAATCTAGGATCTCGAAAAACACCAGCCTCCGTGTCGAACTCGTGAAGAGGATCTCTCAGGACCTGGCTCACTGCATCACGGTTGGTATCAAAGAGACTGTTGAGCCATGTACCCATGTCGCCTGAAAGAGACGCGACATCCTCATCCCGGGCAAGACTTGACGAATCACATTGAGCTAACTTTCGAAGGCCCCGGGCTATACCTTCGCGATATAGATCTCGTGCCCAATCGGCGATGTAATCTATGATAAGAAGAAGTCGCAAAGCATCGTCGAGTGAGTCAATACAACCGTGCCAAAGTCGAACCACGTGCTGGAAAATATGTTAGCCTTTGAGACATCAAATCTCCATAGCTACTTCTACTCACATAAGAGATATCGTCACCCTGTACCTGCGTATAGGCTGCGGATACCCTCCACTGCTCACCCATGTAAGAGAGTGACCAGACAAGAGGACCGGCGTCCCAATCTTGGTCCTCTTCAGCAACGGCTGCCAATCCTTGCTGTATAGACAGAAGCTCTCGGATAACAAAACTTGTTTGAATCTGGATATCGCTGAAGTTGTAGCTCGCCTTTTCAGATTTCGCCTCAATCACGAGAAAAGGAAAAATGATAGGTTCCCCATCGGGCTTGAAAGGGGTGATCCTGATACCCGGAACTAAGCCTAACAATCGACAAAATCGTTCAGTGGCTTTTAGCCCATAGATCCTGTCTGGGCGCTCTTCACGCTTTGGTAACTCGGCTAGTAGCTCTGGAGGATATATGATTGCTTGGTCGGCTTTGTCGTCGAAGAGAGGACTGGTGCCTTGCTCAAATCTAGCACTGGTTAGTCAGTGTCTCGAATGTTACGGACAAATGAGGCTCACACATCCCGTACGGTATCATTTGAACTGCACATGCAGGGCTGGCGTCTCCTCTGTCGGGCCCTCAGCGAGTTGTAGTCGTCATCAGCCTTGTCACTGGTTGAGGTGGCTTCTTGCTCAGACCGCCAAAGGCGACCCCTACAACGTTTACTGATCAAGATTAGATTTCATGCCCTTCTAAAACGTGTCATTATCCTACCAAGCAATTTCCGTGTCGAACCGGGCCATAATTCTGGTTTCGATCGTCAAGCGCCAGCTGATCTCATTCTTCCTGGCCTTTATGCATTGCTTGACTCTTTGACTGATTGATTCAGCACGCACTTTCGCCTGGATTCTCCACGGAGCCTGCGAAGAATCGGCGGAAATGCTAGCATGATAGCCTTGGTATTCCGTTTTCCCGAGTTGCCGAACATCGCGAAATACTTGATTGCATGACGTCGGCCACTGGGGATCGGTGATTGCGTCAATTGGCCCATCATCAATAATATTGTACTTTGTCATCAGCTGTCGCTGAATCTCTCGTTGATTGGGTTGCATGGTGAATCGAGAAGCACCTTAGATAGTAAAATGAAATTGCAATTGTTTGTATGTAATTGTCATTTGACGTTTGTGCGGATTCTGGTGTAGCTAAGTACATGGTGTTGGGCCTGGATTAATGGCCGGCTGAGATGCTCCGCCATGTTGGTGTTTCACTTGTCGCGCGCGTAGACGTGCATATGCAGTTGGTTGTGCAAGTAAATGGAATAAACCGGGATGATTCCTCAGTCAAGGCGGAAAATGCCTTTTATTTTTCTGTCGAACAGGGAATGTAGAGAGGCACAAACTCAATTAAGTTGACATTGGCCGGACAGAAGGACACAGCCATGGTCGCGGCCATATATAATTGTCACAGTCGCAAGGCGTACTCAGGACTCCCAAAGAAACGTTTCGTCAATTCATTTGCCATTAAAACAAATCGCTATCTGATGTATTTGTCACTCGTTTCCACTTCCGTATTGCCGTTGCCCCGTACGTCATTCCTCAGCCCCATTTGTTCATTTGTCGTGTTGTTGTTGTGTGTCGCGTGACTGTAGTCAATTGACGCGCGATGCATTTAGGGAACGGGGGTGTAGTCAGAGTTGCGCATGTGAGACTTGCGGTTGGAGAAGAGGTAATAGACGATCATTCCGACGATGGGGAAAAGGAAGACAACAAGACACCAGAGGATCTTGTGAGAGACGGGACGGTTCGACTGAAGGACCTCGACTGAACCTTCGTTAGCACCATTAACAATATCAGGGAGATATGGGGATACGTACTCCAGACAAGGATATCAAGGACCAAGACGATGAAACCGATAATTCCACCACCAGTTCCATAGTGCCAGGGCTCAGCGCCAGTGACGGTGACCTCGTCAGCGATGGGAGCAGCAAAGGCAAGCGTAGCAAGCCAGAGCTGAAGGAAGGCGAAGACAGCGTTGTTGAGCATTTTGACAGTCACTTTTGCAGTATTATTTGGTGATGTGATTGAGAGAAAGTGTTGACACAGAAGAAGAGGGGAAAGGAAGAGGAGAGAAGCCTTTTTGAGAGGAATCAAGCTTACGACGAGACCGGGCACATGATACATTCACACTGACGTCAGTGATAGCAAGCGGCAGCCTAAAACGTCAGATTCTTTCTCGACCAATCAATCGTCGATCATATCATTAGATCGACGATCGTCAATGCTTGTTTTGATTACTAACAGTCCTTATCTTATCTCAACATTCCAGTCATTATTCCTTCTCCTCAACATCGCTCTTTTCCAAGGCAACGGCCTGAGACGACACTGCATCATCCCCATCAAAGATAACCGCCATTTGCTCCAACGTGTGTCCTCGTGTCTCAGGATAAGTAAAGTAGACGACGAAGATGAAGATGAACAGAATCACGGCGAATACAATGTAGTACCTCCACTGAATCGCGTCGAGAGCAATGGCGTTGACGAAGCTGTTGAAGAAGATTGACGCGACGGTTGTGCACCACGCCACCGTGAGACCGCGAGACCGGAGAGAAAATTGCCAAATCTCGCAAGGATATGCGACAAGGAAGGGTGTTCTAAATATGTTAGCTGTGACAATGTCGAGACATGAGTGAAACTTACAGTCCAACGTCATATCCTGCAAAGAAGATGAAGAGGAATGGCACAACCGCCAGTCCAACCGACGAAGCACCTGACTTGGCAAAAGATGCGCTAAGAGCAGTGACGACAACGAATGACAAGAACATGACGGTCGCTGAAGTCAAGAAAAGGAATCGTCTGCCCAGTCGATCAACACTGACTGCTGCGGCAGTAGCCCAAAGAAGATTCCAGACGTTGAGACATGCCGAGATGAGAGTCTGCTCAGTTGTAGTCTTGAGACCCACCGAGGTCAAGACAAGAGGCAGATAGTAAGAAACAACTCCATTGCCTGCCCACTGCGCAACAAACCCAAGCGTGACCGAGATGAACAATCGATGTCGGTTGCCCTTGGTCTTGAACATATCGAGATAAGACGCACCATTCGCTGCATCCTTCTCAGCCGTGATAGCAGCCTCAATCTCCATCATCTGCGTGCTCACAATCGGATCATCCCTGTTCCCGCCAGCATGATACCTCGCAATGACATCCGTTGCCTCTTCCAATCTTCCAACACTGACATACCATCGCGGACTCTCCGGCGCCATCAGAAAACCCGGCAGAGCACAGAGCGGTAGGAAGATCTGTAGCAGGACAGGAATGCGCCAGGACCAGTCATTAGGAATAACACGACACGCAAACGTAACCCATCCACAGATCGTGCCGCCAACATACCACCCACACATAAACAGCGCACTCGCAATAGCTCTATGCGAAGGATACGCGATCTCATTGATAAGCACAGGCGCAGAGTTTCCCAAGAAGCCAGCAGCGAAACCGATGAAGAGTCTAGCGTACGTAAAGGCCTTTTCGTTGGGCGCACCAGCTTGCATGCCCACGCCGATTATAAGGAAGAAGTAGCCTGCGTAGAGACCGGGCTTGCGGCCATAGCGGTTGGAGCACCATGCTGCGAGGGGTGTGCTGAGGCCGTTGCCGAGCCAGTAGATTGCTGTCATCCAGCCGAGATATGCGCCGGTTGGGTGGTGCATGAATTTGTTCCAGGTGTTGAGCGCGAGGATGGAGCCCATGAGTCCGCCGTCGTAGCCGTTTGCTGAGGCTGTGAAGAAGTTGGTTAGTGGGATACCCGAGGTGATCGGTGTGAGGACTTACAGAAGAGTACGAGGGATAGGATGATGGAGTTGAGCTTGATCAAGTGGCTTGTCTTGTACCATGGTTGGTGGGATGGCCCATGGCCAACTTCAGCGACGGCGCCCATATTTGCTGGAGACCACTCTAAGTAACTTGAAGAAAAATCGAGAATATAATAGAGGTTCAGCTCCAAGATATATAAGCGATGGCTTGATGTTGAAAGCCTGTGTCGATCATTGACTTTATGCTGGGGATGTATGCAAGTCTATATAGTCCTCCCATACACGTTATTGACGAACGAAAAAATCCACCAAAATACTCCACGCCATTAAAGTATCACATGGCACACTAGTCTCTGTCAAAACCCCAGAGTAAATTCTGCCCATGGGGAATCAGACGTTTTCGCGTCTCCCCATACCGCTAGAAAATTACGAGGGCGATGTCGCATTGCGGAGATTTGCCAGTGGGGGCTTTCCGTAACGAGGCGGAGAATTGAGATTTTGGTGTGAGCTTAGCTTGGTGGTTGGCGTGTGTATTTCTCCGCCCCTTGTGAAGAACACGGCAGATGATTTCGGAGAGCTTGATTCGGCGCATCATGCAAGCAATTGCTCCGTGTTGGAATTATTTGGACGATCAACGTGCCATGATCATCAGCGCAGACAAATTATGGACTACGACTCTGGCGGAGAATTAGGTCCCATGATGGAGCACAAAGATGAGAATGCTGGACTGTGATCATGCTCATGGACTATATAGCTCAGTCTCATTTTTGGTTAGTCAATCGCATTTCCATGGAAGCTGGAGTCCCTTTGCTTGCCAATCATCAATCACATCATCACTTTTCAAGACACGAGCAATTGAGATGAGGTATCCCAGAATGGATATCGAGGCCCTCATACAGCAATTGACCCTCGAAGAAAAGGTCCAGCTCACTGCTGGAGTCGGATGGTGGCACACAGCATCAATTGAACGCCTCTCAATCCCCCCAATCCGCCTCTCAGACGGCCCCAACGGCGTGCGAGGAACTCACTTCTTCGACAGCACCCCATCATCATGTCTTCCCTGCGGTACCGCCCTCGGCGCAACATGGAACACTGATCTCATCCACCGGCTTGGACAGTTACTCTCTGACGAAGCCCACGCCAAAGGTGCTCATGTTCTTCTTGGGCCTACGGTCAATATTCAGAGGGGACCATTAGGCGGAAGAGGTTTTGAGTCGTTTTCCGAAGATCCTGTTCTTTCGGGGATCTTAGCGGGGCATTATGTACGTGGTGTGCAGAAGAATGGCGTTTCTGCTACTATGAAGCATTTTGCTTGTAATGATATGGAGAGTGCGAGGATGGCTGTTGACGTGCAGGTTACGGAGCGCGCGTTGAGAGAGGTGTATCTTCTTCCGTTTATGATTGCGGTTGAGATGGTGAGTCCGAGGGTGTTCATGACGGCTTATAACAAGGTCAACGGAACCCACGCGCCAGACAATCATCATTTGTTGCAGGATATTCTTCGCGATGAGTGGAAGTGGGATGGATTAGTTGTGAGCGACTGGTTCGGTACCTACAGTACGACGGAGGCCATCAATGCAGGGCAAGATCTCGAAATGCCAGGTCCGACAAGATGGCGTGGTGAGACATTAGTTCACGCTGTTACCTCAAACAAGGTTAAGCGATCGACGTTGGATGAGCGTGTGAGGAATGTCTTGAAGTTGGTCAAGCATTCTATCGAAAACACGAGCATACCTCCCAATGCGCCGGAGACTCAGCTTCAAAGTCAGAAAAATACCAGCCTATTGCGCGAAGCCGCTGCTGAGTCAGTTGTACTTCTCAAGAATGACAAGGGAGTTTTACCTCTGGACCCTGCGAAGAAAGTTGCAGTCATTGGCCCTAATGCCGACATCAGTACTTATTGCGGTGGTGGAAGTGCGAGCCTTCGAGCGTACCATACTGTCTCCCCACTGGAAGGCATCAAGGGCATTGCGAAGGATGTTTCTTTCACCAAGGGTCTCTATGGTCATAGATCGCTGCCTCAAATAGGCAAGTTGTTGAAGACAGTTGACGATCAGCGCCAAGGATTCACATTGCGCATCTACAACGACCCGCCTCCATCATCAGGGCCGGATACACGCAAGGTACTCGAGACGAGGATTCTTGACGACTCGAATATCTGGTTTGTGGACTACGAGCATCCAGCGCTTGAGCAGATCTGGTACGCTGAGATGGAGGGGATCTTGACTCCAGAAAAGACAGGAGAATGGGACTTTGGTCTCTGCGTTCATGGTACCGGCGAACTCTTCATTGATGGCGAGTTGGTAGTCTCTAATGTCACCGATCAAAAGCCAGGCAGTTCATTCCTGGGCTGTGGTACCGTCGAAAAGACAGGAAGTAAACTTCTTAACGGTGGTAAGAGCTACAACGTCGTCGTGCGCTGGGGCTGCGATAAAACCTCTGATCTCAAGGTCTCTGGCGTCGTTGACTTTGGCCAAGGCGGTATGCGCCTTGGTGGGTGTCCCAAACTTGAGCCGCGACAGGCACTCCAAGACGCTGTGGAGTTGGCCAAAAGCGTTGATCAAGTCGTTCTTTGCGTTGGGACGAGTGGAGAATGGGAGAGTGAAGGTCAAGATCGCGGAAACATGTCGCTTCCTCCTGGCAGCGACGATCTGATCTCCGCAGTTCTACAAGCGAATCCCAACACGGTGGTGTTGATACAAAGTGGCACGCCTGTTTCGATGCCGTGGGTCGATCAGGCTAGTACCATTGCGCAAGCGTGGTTCGGTGGTAATGAGGCTGGTAATGGTATTGCCGATGTGCTCTTCGGTGCCGTTAACCCTGTGAGTCGACCCAGTCACGTCGTATTGTTTTCGCTAATAGTTCCAGTCTGGCAAACTGCCAATTACGATGCCCCGACGCGTGTCAGATAACCCCAGTGCCTTGAACTTCCGGTCAGAAGGAGGACGCGTCCTGTACAACGAAGACGTGCATGTCGGCTATCGCTGGTACGACACGCTTGACATTGAACCCTTGTTCCCATTCGGGCACGGGTTGTCGTATACTACCTTTGAGCTGTCTGACTTGCATGTTGAAGAGCACGTAGTCTCTGACAGCAAGAAATTGACAGTGAGTCTGAGCGTGTCAAACACTGGCTCGCGAAGGGGCGCTGCGGTTGTACAAGTCTACGTCAAGCCACCCCATCCAACACCTTTTACTGCTTCTGCTCTTGACACGATCACAAGATCTAGCAAAGAGCTTAAGGGCTTTGCCAAGATACATCTTGAAGTTGGAGAAAAAGGCGTTGCAGAGATTGAGGTAGATGTGCTGCGTGCGACGAGTTATTGGAGTGAGAGGGAGGATTATTGGTGTAGTGACGTCGGAGAGTACACGTTACTAGTGGGTACGAGTAGTAGATGTGAGTTTCTGCAGAAGACGTTCACGGTCCAGCACGCGACAACGTGGCGGGGACTACGGCGATGACGAGAGTCAACTACCCTACACTAGTAAGAAATACCATTTTAATTCTTCAATTTGTCAAGTGATTGTTATCAATGTGAAGAATAATAACCTAGACATCTAACCTCAATTGAAGCTTTCCTATTGTGAGCTCATATTTAGATATATATATTGATTCAGAGGTATAGTGCACGGTGGATGCCAAAGGCCCATTCATGTAGTTTGGACTCAAAAGACGCTTGATATCATTCCAAAGTCAATGATGGCTTCAAAGCATACAACCAAGATTGGGGCGGAGTATTGCAACAAGCCTAACTCTAATGGCTTCCTAAAAGTTTCAACTCATACAAGACGAATTTTCGCGTCGATTAATCCCATCCAAAGACATCGTCCTTTTTGCCGAACCCTCGGAAGTTTCTCCACCGATTTAGGCGTAGAATTGCGGCTCCGACCAAAACGAACTAACGAAAAAGTCCAAGCGGCACATGATGACCATTCCAGCGGGTCATGTTTTAACTCCGTATGTATTTCTCCGCCTCGTCAACCCCAGAGTCTGACCCGACTGCTCGGTTACCTACCATGGCAGACCCCAGCACATCTTTGCTATCGACCGACAACGAAGCAGATGAGTCTATCACAGCTCGCGGAGAAAAGACAAGACAGTTGAGCACAAGGGCATGTGATGCGTGTCGTGCTCGGCGGAGGAAGTGCGTGTTTCCGAGGGATGGTACAGGAACAGCGTCGCATTGCGTCGGATGCTCGAGGCTGCATATCCAGTGTAGCTTTGACATACCAACAAGGCCTAGAGGTCCAAAGAGAAGAAGGTAGTCTGAGCCAAACCTTGGGATTGTCGCGTCGCTTGAAAGCCTGGCTAACTGCTATCAGGACGACTCAAACGCCTGCGGTCATTTCTCCAGAACTACACGTCGAGAGCCCAATCCACTACGAGGAAGAAGAAACAGTACATACAGAAGTCCCTACGCCTCTCGCGGATTCTCATCTGACTCTGGCATTTGAATCATCGCCCAATGCACCATCCCTAAGCCGTCCACCCATTCATAGTCATGTCGCGCACTTCGAACCGTCTCAAAATGTCGAGTTATTCGAGCATCAGTTCCAAACCGATGAGATCTGTCCTCGGACTTTGTTCATGACCATCATGAATGACTACATTGACCATATATACCCACTCGTTCCCGTTGTTCACCTTCCCACGTTCCGCGCCGACTTGGCGACGAATAAGGATGTTACGGACCTCGATACTCTACTGCTGCTCGTATCAATAGCTTCGTTGACTGTGGGCTTGCTGCCATCAAAGTTTGATAGTTATCATGCCCTGGCAGCTCGATTTGGTACTCGCACGGCCATGATTAGTCACTGCTCTCAGATGTGCATCCGTCTTCGGCCCGCAGATTACTGGGATCATATCAGCCATCGGAAGTGGGCTACGGCGTATAGCCTCTCGATCGGAGCCTTTCAAGTTGGGCAGATCAACCAAAGTCGTATGTTTGAAGCAGAGTCAATGCAGCTCGCGCGACTATTGGGTATGCATATTGTGTCGGAGTACGAGGGCTTGAATCCCATTGAGACTCAACTGCGAAAGAAGTCATTCTGGCTACAGCTCTATACTTTCGCGTAAGTCAATTGCTTCCAAGCGGTCTTCTCGAGTAACAAGATGTCAGGCATTCCAAGATCCAACCGGGTAGATGCAATTACTTGACATATCTAGACAACTACACCATTCGCGATGTCAATTTTGCTGCATTGGAGCCTCTCAACATCGTCGACGAGAACATAACAGAGACAGGAATCGTCGGCCAGCTTCCTTCAACACCATCCGTGGGGCTACCAAACAACACTGACTCAGCAGACGATGCGCCATTTCACTCCACTACCGTCTTCATCATGGCATCTCGCGCATTTCTCTTGGGTATGCGAGAGTCCATGGTCAATGACGGCTGCAACTGCGGGTTTGGCAGATCACCAGAGGAGCGTCTGTCAAAGTTGAGAGACCTTCTTGATCAATTACGTTATATACTTGATGGCTTGCCAACGCACATGCGCCAATGGGGCCCGGGTGATAACTACCAGCCATTTGGCGGTGGCGAGGGCCGTCAAGGTGCTTTTGCTGACGCAAACATCGAGCATTTGCAGAATGAAAGTACTAGAGCCAATCTACACGTCAGTCATTTATGGCTTCAGAACTTTCTTCTTGATAAAATGGTTGTTGCTTTGCAAGAGATGAAGGACCGAGAGGGAGACGACTCATACGTCACAACGCAGCTAAAGCAAAATTGGAGGGACCGTGAAGACGTAGCCCGCCAATTACTTCACATTCTCCACAGCATTCCTCATGCGTACTTAGAGCCCAATGGATTATATCTCGTAAGTCTCGTCTCACTTTCTTCTCGCAGAATCCTAAGAGTGTGTGCTAGATCTACAAAGTGCGCAGCATTGCTAGTTCTTTACTGAATTGCCCATTTGAGATGGATAGGCAGCTCTCTCGCCGGGTATCGGAGTACATCCAGGAGTTTACAAAAGTGCTGTCATACCTCGATCGGAGCGAGATTGTGAACACTGACGGCTTGAGGAGTTGGATAGACGAGGGTCAGCATATGAATCATGACACCTAGGATATGACAGCCTTGTTCGGGTATGTCGTGAAACGAGGTCTCGCAATTTGGTACAGAGGTTACACAATGCCTGGAGGCTTCTGTTGCAACCGTTGTTTTTGCGTAATAATAGGCATGCCGATTCGGGAAGTTGTCATTTTAACTTTAATCAAAGCGTCACGATTTCTGCCACCTCAAGACTGGATAAACCCCCCTAACCCCTCAGCAGCTCAAAGTAGGCGCGTTAGGCTTTCTTCGCCTTTCTAGGTATCGTCAGTCGCACATATGGCGATCGCCCGAAGCTCCGCTGCGAGCATAATACTACACCAAGGCGACGTCTAAATTCTCCGGAGCGACACATGCATTTCATAAGTGTACAGTAGATGTGTTAGGTAGCTGGTATACTGCCTGAGCTGATTCGATAAGAGTGTTGTTTTGAGCTGATAGACCCCACCACTGATACTCACTTCACACGCCTCACACGTAAGTTTATGGCTTTGAGGCTGAAGCCTCTTCTAAACCCCCAACCTTGTCAGTACAGTCAGACAAAACGAACCCCGCTGATACAGCTATATATACCTTCGAATCTACTGTCATGGTCTAGGATGGATACCCTTGCATTTTACACCTCCTCAGCTCTTCAGTTCGAACAAAGCTACCCAATCAAGCCTGCCAGAATGAAACCCTTAAATCTCCTCATGGCCGTCATCGGTCTATCCATCAACCCCGTCTCATCCATATGCTTCATGTCCGGCATCAAATTTGAGGACCGCCACCTTGCACGGCAGCACGTCGCCGAAGTTTGTGACAAAGATTTGGGAGATTTCTATGCTCCTCTCCAAGTCAAAAAGAAGTGCATTCAGCTCTCTCCCTCGCAGAAGGTTGAGTTCTCAGTTGAGAGCAAGGACTATTTTGGAAGACTTCAACTTATACATCACTGGTGTACTGGGCCTCTTGACCGGATAATCGAACAGTGTTCTCGAGGTGGGGACTCAGATACTGGCGTCTGGATTTTCAGGTGAGTCCTATCTAGAGCTGGTTTGAGACTTGGCTGATAGGTGGGTAGGGTCGACCCAAATGACGGCAAATGCTGAGATCGGCCAAGATCAGTGCCTTTATTTTGGTTGTGAAGATGGCCTTTGGAACTCAGTGCGCCGTCACATGCTTGACTTGGATTATGTCCTGTTTAGGTTGTCAGATATCCCCGAGGTCTCCGAAGTCTAGGTGTTTAATCAGCTGGCTTTATCCCTGCCCACCTCATAAACACGCTCACTTTAGCATTAATGCAGATAAATGACTTTTTGAGTCTCTTTTCGCAGACGAATTATCGCCTGGTCTAAATGTCTTGTGAAGCTGATGCCAGCATCCATCATGCATGCTCCTATTGTACGTCGGATCCTACAAAGAGTTGCAACGAGCGGTCATAACACCAGAGATCCAACCGCCAACCGTAACACCCAAGTCACAACCCATTGCGGAGCCACCGTCAGAGTCACCATCGTCCAGCCATTCATGCTTATATATCGTTCGTTCGCTGATTGGAAAGCCATCCATCTCTCGCATCCAAGTAAATATATTTCGCGTCACCTGTTCTGAAATATCCCTGTCTGGGTCTAGCCCTCTATAGTCTACTAGACTAGCCGCTACAGATTGACTTGACTTCAATAAAGGACGAGTGACTTTGGTCATGGCGGCTGCTTCGTGGACTTCCTTCTTTCCTCCTGCACAGGTCCATATGATCTTGGAGAACTGGAGTGTGTGTCCACCTTGGCATGCTATATGAAGACGAACATCGAGGTCTAGATCTTCAACAGCTGTTGAGCCAAGAGGCGCATGTGGGAACATGGGTGGGAACCTGTATCTTGCTGTCCCCTGGGTAAGAAAAGCTAACGTGCCCTCATGCCTGCGTGAGATGGAAGTGGTATTGTCTGGCTGTTGAGGGACGTGATCCTGAATGAAGGATATTAGGGTTCGGGTCCAAGCCGCTTCGTGGATATCGATCCTGTTGAGTCCCAGGAGTCCTCCAGGGCCTTTCAAGAAACCCCTGTGCAAGCCCGCAATGATGGCACCAAGCCACAGAAAGCTCAGATGAGGGCTTCGAAGGGAAAACATCCGAGCTAGAATATCTAGGTCTTGTATCAACCCTGGCTGGAAGACAGTGGCAGTGCCTTGCAACCATGGACCACATGTATTGCAAAGTATGCTAGGTTCGTAGAAGATGCTGCCAAGAATGCACTTCACTCCGTGAGGATTGCATGACAAGGTAAGGAGCCTATCGAACTGTCGGATATCTTGGCCATAGATTGGTTCGTTCATCGATTCTGAGGTTGGCCTGACTTTTGAAGGCGCAGTGCACATTCGTGGCACCGGAAGTAGGACACTCACTCTGTCGTAGTTGGCCAACGGGAGCATGAGCGCTGCCGCAAAAGCAGCACGGTTTTGACCGTGAATGGAATGGAGAGTACAATATTCAGAAATATGCTGAACTGCCGACTCAAAGCTCGAGCAACATTGGTGGCCTGGCGTTCTACTCCTCGAGGCGCTGAACAGTCGTATAGTGGGAAGTGAGTCCAGTGTCGACGACCAAGGAGACATGAATTTGTAGCGTCCACACACCATAGAAGCCTTCCAACCTTGGCCAGGCGAAAGCACAGCTGCCCACCACCGTGCAGCGTCGTCGCTGACGTTTCCAATATCTACCACTGCTTCTGTGTTGTCGCAAGGACGCGTAGCTAACCACTCAGCCTGACTGTCAGTGTACTCCAGTGGCAACGCTTGAGAGAATATATCGGCCCATCGTGCTGACAAAGCGTACGCCCATGCGAGAACGAGGACTGTGAGATGATTGTCATCTGCCTTGAACCAGACAGATGGTGGCAGAGGCAATTTGGCCGAAATAAGCAATCTGGTAGGCATAGCAACACGCGGCAAAATTCGAAAAGGCTGCTCGAAGGGCGGTAAGTCGCAGGATCCTTTCCCAGGAACCCACGTTGACGTGGCTGCCAGGAGTCCAGTGCTATCTAGCTCAATCCCAACCGGGAAGTAAGGGTGATGCGGGAAGAGATGCTCGACCTGTAGGTTGTCTAAAGGAATGTTGGGATCTTCAGTGGCCTGCTGTCGTAAGGATGACCAGATTCTGTACCCTTTCTCATAGAAAACACGAAAAAGAAAGTGATCGAGTCGCAGAGGATCATTCGCCATGATTCAAGGGAGGTAAAAGATTATATCCTGTTTAGATTATCAGATATCCCTGAGGTCTCTAAAGTCTAGATATTATTTTATAAAGACAAAACCCATTCCAGAACCAACCTCTCCTTTAGCACGATTTCTATCGTCAGGCAGAGCCACCATGTTTCATCTTCAGCCCATCAGCTTAATCGCACTTAGCGCTATTAATCACATTACAGGGGTCTTAAACCTTGTTGGTCTCCACCTGGCTTGTGATGTGACACCTAACTTAGCATAAAGCCAGCTTACCCCCCATTTATATCCTTAGACAACTACAAAATTCATCTTGTTCAAGTTCAATTCCTCGAGGGAAAAAGTATGACTGAAGCACAAAAGCCTTTTCGCGTTGAAAGCGCCTCCGAGCGGGCTAAAAAAATGGGGATCACGACATGGACCAAGTTCCATTATGCTTCTCAACCGGAGCAGTCAATCTTCACACCACTTGACGCATGGGGCCATTCTATCCGCCAACCTTACTACGGCCCTATCATCGAGTCCCATCAACAGTATTTTCTTGCCGTTGGTTGGGAGACGGAGGAGCAATGGGACAAATTCAAATCGTCCCCCGAGCATCAGCAGCTAATGGCCAATCTGACAACCAACAACGTGCAGCCGGAGACCGAGATTATTATATTTACCTCTAACATGTTCGCTATTGGATACACATCTAACGTCGAGTTGTTCATTGTATACTGGCCGGCGTCTATTACTCAAGAGGTTCAAACAGCCATCTGGAAAACCAAGCAACTTGTTCATACTGCAGCAAGCGGAATGCCCAACCCACTCTGTTACCGCAAGAAACCGATGTTTGGATGGATAGATGGCCAAAAAGACTGGAATGGGGAAAGCGCTGTTGCAAGTGTTTGGGCCCACAAGTGGCAGAACCAGGAACTGGAGCAAAAGTACAAAACCAATGAGAAGAGGCTTGTTTGGGGCGACGATGGGAGGAGATCTTACCCGCTAGCCGTAGAAGCATTTCAGCATGACTTGAAGTCTCTCGGTGCTATTGGATGGGAGTCAGTCCATGTGGCTTTCGAGCGTGTTCGAGTTGTGAAGGAGGATGCTCTAGCGCGTAATTCAAGGCTTAGACTACAAGCCGCGCTTGGGCAGAGCGCCACTTAGCGTGCATCTGGAGTATTTCAACATCTAATACTCTTCTACTCAGTACGTTTCCAAACATTGCCGTGAACAGATTCCCAACAGATGGCTCGCACGGCATATTCATCTCGGCCGGCTGGGCTACTCCTCCCCTCTGGAACTCCATGGATGAAAGGTGCAAGCCCAAGAGTGACTTTTTACTGGCGGATAGCTGTAAGGCTTCCCTGGGGAAGTTTGAATGCCGCGGTGCAAAGACAGAAGACAGATGACCTTTGGGGAGGGACTTACTGCGAGGCGCTTGATGAGGGTGGTTGTATGAAATGGACGCCCACGCCTGCCCACTTGGCTGATGGCCCATGGGGGATCCACTGAGCGGAGGATGAGCGTGGAAATGCAAGGCAATGCCCGGGGTATGAATCGCCTGCCTAACTGTGCGTTTTGGCAAGGATTAGTCAGTCCACTTACCTTTTGCCAGGTGTTGGTTGTCTTTTGTAGCAAATTTAGTCACGTGTATTGAGGTAATTCTAGGCTAAAATCAGCATGTGTCTCCTCCTCCTCCTGTACAATCCTTCAACAAGATGGCGAATTTAGACTGCGTGCCACTAGGTCAGACGGCGGTGATCATTGCCGCAAAAAGTCATCATCGAAGCACTGTGAAAGTTCTTTTAGACCACAATCGTGCGACCGTCAGTGGTGCTTTATTTCAGCTGGCCGTACACCATGCGTGGATGAACATCGTAAAGCTTGCGATATCAGCGGACAAAAGCTTTCTCAACTGGGTTGACCCGATTTCTGGCAGCACTGCGTTGCACATTTCGGTCGAAAGCGCTCACGTGGATGTGATAAAGACTCTTCTTGATGCTGAAGCGGATCCGAATTTGAAGGATGGAGCTAGCTTACTTCCTTTTGCGAAAGCAATGAGATCAAACAACCTAGACATTGCGAGAATGCTGCTAGACTCTAGTAAAGATATCATGATTGATGAGCCAGACAAAGCAGGTGTCACTCCTTTCTTGCGAGCATGCCTAGATGGCGAAAAGGCAGTTCCTGTCATACGCGAATTACTCGAGAAGGCCAAGGATAAGGTGAATCTGAATGTCAGATTGCCTAGGGATGTCAAAGTCAACGAATGTGGGAGAACCGCTCTCATCATGGCGCCGTTTCTTGACCCAGAGCAAGAGGGCAGTGACAGCCTCTTTAACCTACTACTCGAACATGGAGCCGACCCCAACGTACCATGCACTAAACACGGTAATACAACTCTGTCGAAAGCTGCTGGGAGGGGACATGTTCAGGCGATAGGAAGCTCCTAGAATTTAACGCCGGCCCGAACCTAGCGTCTAAACGCGGCTTTACACCTCTTTCTAGAGCCGCCTGGAATGGCCATGCTTTGGCAGTAAGAAAACTTCTGGATTCCAATGGCGACCCAAACCAGCAGAACTACGAAGGAGAAACTGCGCTACATAGCTGTTCAGCAGGAGGCCATGTGAGTTGCATTGAGGAGTTGGTAACATATGGGACTTCTCTCAGTTCCTTGATGTATCCTGACTTAGGGGAGCCCTACGTTATTGGTTTCACCCCCTTGGTCCTTGCAATTGCCTGTTATCGGCAATCTTCGGTCGAAAAGCTATTGACTTTCGATCCGGGCCCTGGACAAGCGTTGCATATGGCTCTGGCGTCTGAGGAACTTCGGATTGCCAAGGCAGTCTTTGAGCGATATCCCCAGCCGAATTTATATGACGAAGACCTCGGGACTCCACTACACCTTGTCGTCATGTCCAACAATGAAGAAATATTCGACTTCATTCTTGCCCAAAAGGGAATCGACGTCAATATTCCTGGTCCGTCTGGTCGAACGCCGTTAAGCTATGCAGCGATGAGATACCAAGGGTTCGTTGAAAAGCTGATCCAGGCACACGCTGACCCCAACATCAAAGACCATGAAGGCAAGACAGCATTAGATCACGTAATTGCTGAAAAGGACTGGGAAATGGCACAAATACTCTGTCGCCACACCAGGTTGGATCTCGTCCAAGGCAGCGTTCGCAGACAGAGTGCCTTGTATGGGGCCTGTCAAACTGGTCAGAAGGACGTGTTTAAGGTGATCAATGCTTCATGTCAGAATCTGAACCACTCACAATACATTGAGCTTTGTGAATTAGCTCTACATGCTGCTTTTGCAGCTGGCAACGAAGAGTTCTTCGAACAGCTCATCAACGTGCCTGGTGTTACTGGAAGCGTGGAAGATGAAGATGGCTGGACTCCTTTGAAATACGCCACAGTATACAATCAATCGGAAATAAAGAAGAAGATTCTGAAAAGGTTCCAACAAAACGGCATGGATAGGGTAGACCAAAGAGGTAAAAGGGTCACTAAGATGCCGCAACGATGGCACAAAAACGACCGACATCCGGCCCTTTACGAGAAGGACGATAACGCGGACCCTAGAGAGATTATGATAACGAGTAATTCCAATGCAACCTCGATATTCCATATGCTTATTAGGTCGTATCAGCAACGCTCAACGACGCTTATCCGGATGGTAAAGACAGATATGCAGTGGCCCGGGCAGATCATCCCATTCCAACGGACGAGAACTACTGCTTTGAAATCAGTATAAAAAAAGGCTGCTCTGACGAGCAACAGTGAGTAGTTTTCTTTGCCTTTCGATGTTCTTAGTTACATACAGGGTCTCTAACCTTGTCTTACAGCGACGTGGATATTGGCCTCATTGATGGCACAAAAATGTCCAATGGGCAACGATCCCTCGCGCGTGCATTAACATATTGCTATGAGTCTTTGGGTGGCAGTACGTACGATGACATGGCAAATAGTCTCAAAAGCGATTGCGGACTTAGTCGAGAGTATCGGGAGGGCTATACCGTGGGCTGTGGATTTGATGCAGCCAAGGAGTGCGTTTATTTCACCTGGCAGTGAGAGGGATTAGGTAAAGTTTCTGCTGTTTTTTCTTTCTCTTGCTGTATATGGCTTGAGCTATCTTACCACCGATCACATCATAGTTCTATGACAATGGCGAATGGTAATTACAAGTTGTTTGACTTCCAGAAGCTAACATTCTTATATATAGAGGAAAGACACGATGACTATTCAGGAAAACTATACCCTGCAGTATATCTAAACACAAGGCAGAAGGGTGTTTGCTTAGTGGCTAAATTTCCATAGGACAACAATACGGGCACCAGCAATTGGTTTAACTATAACTAAGTTCTGTCTGCTGATTCAAGCTCTTAGCCACAAGTCTTAGCTGCAAATGTTAAGGAAACACAGCCCAACAACCAACCACCAACATCAGGCCAGGTGTTGATTTTTATACTCTCCCCCACCTCCCTAGCAACGTTACTCTAGCCACACACATAATGCTTGATAACATCATGACTGTTCTGGCATGTAAGTTTCTTGTTATAGTCTTTCGACGAGCATTTCCCGTATAAAGACCCATCAAGTCTGTAGATAGCCAGGTCATCAGTACCACAGTAAGCAAAGTGGTCAACAGGCATAGTTAGTTCACAGTTCCTCAAAAGGTTTGAGGTATTAATTCTCACAGATTGAACCCTGGTTCTGAAGCTGGAAGTTGAAAGAGCATAGACTTTGGTCAACGCTGCCGAGGAAATGACCTCCTCCATCGCAAGGTGTGTCGCCCTCCCACCAAGCGATATGGTAGTTCTGGCCTCCGGATTGCTGTTGTTGGCCGACGCTAATTTTCGCCGCAAAGGCTTGCGAAAAGAGGGTTGAGAGTAGAACGACGTTGGCTCGCATGATGACTAGTTTAAAGAGATTGGTAGAGAGGTAATTGGTGAGTGTTTTCTTGATGCTTTCTCTGTTCTCTTATAACTTCGTCTTCATCGAATAGTTATATATAGATATTTACTTATATGTCTGAAAGTAGTTTTAGTATATGTAACTCAATCTACCAAGGTCGAGGCAAATTACTCAGCCAGCCCGACATGATACTACGACCACCAATTGGTGGCAAAATACACACGGCGTACCAGCTATGAATCGCGCGGGGTGCAAGAAGACTTCTGAAATTGGCCTGAGGTACTAAAAATACTTAGTTAAAGATCTTCTAAATCTTGACTAACTTTACCGAAGAATTTTCATCACTTAAGGGCCAAGCTGGCATCCTCTTTGAATGGACCCTACTAATTTCTCGGTTTCCTCAGTAAGCCGTTCTATCTGCCAATAGACGAGATGCTCGGCATGGATTACTGATGGTGGCTGATATCGTCTATGTCAGCAGTAGAAGACGAATCAAAACTAATTCCAAAGTAATCAGATTATTAACAAAGTTTCCAAGAGCGATCACAGGTGTGCAATGACAAATAAGAGAAAGCTTTTATGTAAGAAATAGCCTGCTTGGTAATGGTGATGTAAAACAAGATAGTGTATAAGTAGGTAGGTAAGAATCATGCCATGAGAGTGAAACCAGACAGATCAAACATAGAGTCAATTAATTCCTGCTTCACTTGGTTCTCCGCCAGTTCTACACAATGCGTTTCGAGCAAGTTTTACTAGTAGCACTATGCTCGCAAGCTCACGCAGCTATCAGCCTTGGCCAACAGGAAAAGCTTTACGATCGCGAGAATCACCACATTGCCTGGTGGGAAGGCCAATCGGCCTGTAGTACGAAAAGCGCAGTCGAGATGGGATATACGACTGTGAGCCTGTGCTCTATGAAGTTCAAACTACCTGGCGATAATACGGAGTGTTAGTTACATATTTGGATGGCTGGGCACAATTGCTGACACGAATCTAGATCACGCTGCATACTGCGGCACGGATGACTTTGCCCTCTATCGAGCGGATGGATCTCTGTACGGAAAGTGTTCGGGTAAAGATTATGGAAAAAAGATTAGTTGTGGAGCTGTGGACCATGATGTTGTTAAGCATTATGTCTGTGGGTAAGACCTATTAGAATACCTTAGTTATTAATAGTACTTTAAGTTAGGGCTTAGGCGCTAAGCCGTATTTATATCAGAGACTGGATGCTTACTGATAAACTCCGGCTTCTCATATTGATATATCAAGCATCTGAACAATAACACTAGTGGAAATTTAATATCTTGAAGCCTCCAAGTCTTTAGATTAGGGAAGAATTCTATTATAGGTAGGCCGTGGGGGTTAGTACTGAGTAGAACCTTCGCAAGAAGTCAATTATTACAGTGCAGAGTGAATAGTTATAGTAAGTATAAAGGACATATTAGTGCTAGCAGGATACAACGAATGGCAATTATTGGGATCCAGAAGAACTCCTCTCTGTGGTTAGGTCATAAAACTGCAGTATATCAACCATCTCTAACCCCTGCGTTGGCCGATCTCTGACCTCTACGTTGGATGCGTTAATTAACCTCTGCCACTCTTGAGGTAGACCCTAAATACAGTTAGCCGGCTTGTTATAGCTGTAGAGAGCACACTTTCATAAAGCACAAGGCCATAACATACAGTAAACTGCCCAGTTAAGTTGTCAAACCCAGCGTGAGTAACATGGACAGGATTTGCCGGTGCGCTCACCGCTGGCGTCTTACGCCTTCTCGCAAAGCGTCCGAGTAGCCGCGAAGGTGCCTGAGACTGGTTCGTTGGTGGAAGGATGTTATCTGGTCTATTTCGTGCCTTTTCTCGCGAGGGGGAAGACTCGGGAGCCTGAGAACTATCAGACTTTACCAGAGCGCCTTCCTCGCCAAATACATAGCAGTCGCTGTTACTCAAATCATTAGAGTAAACTGGCAACGCGTAGAAAGAGATGTTGGACACTTGAGAGAGACTCAAGTTAGAGAATAGAGATAGCGCAGTCGTGTACAAGGCAGTGCTGGTAAGAGACGTCATAGATTGTCTACCTACGGCGCGGTTATACACTCGAGATGCCTGGAGATCCTGGTCGAATGTGAATTTAATGGCGGAAGCCTGTGTATCGATGAACGAAACAGACTTTGAGCCTCGTGTCTGTCGAAGCGTAGAGACGTCATCCTTCCTAGACTCGGCAATAATAGAACCTTCTCGCTCAAGCCCTCTGATACGACTTGCAAGGTCCTGGTTACTTCTCAGCAGTTCCTCAACAAGTGTGCAGAGATGGCGAGTTGAGCTTTGAGCTTCTTTCATGGTTTCACTTCTCCGTTTAGTATAATCAGAAAGGGTCGAGTAGAATATAAGAAACCTCACCACTGTAAAACGGTCAACATCAACGTCAACGACGACTTGTGATTTTGGAGTCGCTGGACAACAGCAGCTATATTGGACTCTTGTCGAGCCCACTTCATTTTATCAATAGTCCCCATTTCAGGGCTTAGATTCAGCTGGTCCATAAGGCTCTGGAGATCCGAGAACGTAGTAACACATCCTGTCAGTGTAGTAAGAACATGTTCCAACAGAATCAATGCCCCTCGTTCCCCGGGGGCTTGAGCTTGTCCGCAAACGTAGGCCTGAAGCGATCCAAGCGCGGCTGTGATATCGGCTACTTCAAAGACAAGATGACGTGCAAGTTGAGGGGCGTCTCTAGCGTTGGTCGCGAATGTCCAGAGACAAGATGTGATTTTGGCTCCGGCGCCTAAGAGTCCTACAACGGACGCCGAGACGGATAGAGGATCCATTGAAGCAAGACCGCTAATACGAAAAAAAGAAGGAGAAGGATTGAAGTGGGGTGAAGTGTCGTATTTCTTCTGGTGAATGTGCACTGCCTCCACCAGAATTACAAGGCAGATTCAGCCGCACCAAATCAAGGCGCCTGCATAAATACGACACCATTAGATAGTTTGATTGGCTAGAGACAACAGTAGCTAGCAATGCCACCACGCGTTCGCGGTATAGCCACAAGTTAATGCCTTTTCAACCGAATTGCCTTTCTTTTAGGCAAACATGCAATCAACTAGAGCATCTTTAACTTCCCCACTCAATCCATCGAGCGATTTTGTTAGTGTATCTAATATGTGAAGCGGAAGCTTGGATGGTCATCCCCCAAGTTATTCCTCTCATCCTCTGGTAAGTTGTATCTGTGGTCCCTTTTACCCTCATCTCTTAGCTTATTCTCTCGTCTGATATAAAACAAAAAGACAAGCGAGCTGAGCCCACAGAGCCAGACAAGGCCAAGACCTAAACCAAATCCTAGAGGATATGTGGGCGCTTGAGTTGTGACGAAGATATTGCTGTGCAGTGGTTAGTGACATCGCCTCAGATTAAAGATCAGGAACCTACCTAGCGATAATTCCACCAATATTACCGAAACCAATTTGCATTGCAGAAGCTACACCCAATTTGTAATGACCTGCCATGTTGTTGCTCACCCAGACCAACACGATTGGCTGGGCGATATACCCACCACCGACGATGAAGAAGAGGGCCATGTATCGTATGGCGACACTGACAGACATCATGTTGAGCAGAATCACATATCCAACGGTCGTGAAAAGGCAGCCTCCAAGGATAAAGCCCGAGCGGTGCTTTGTCTTGTCGCTCGCGATGGCGGAAACAAGTGCACACACGGTTGCAAACAGAAAGATAGGGATCGACATGATTTGAGCTCGAATAGACGTCCATCCGAGCTGTCTGAGGATAGTTGGGGTGAAGAAGGAGCCGGAGTAGCTGGTAGTGACAATACCCATGTACATCAAGATACTATCAGGGTTAGAAACAAACTGTACTCGCGAGGTTCACAAGTGACTTACCCGAGATAAATCTTGACATCTGAGAAAATTCTCTTGGCTGTTTTCTTATCCCATGTATTCATGTGAGTATCCTTTTTATCCGCTGCAAGACGGTCAACAAGCAGCGCTCGTTCATCATCGTTGAGAAATTTCGCAGTCTCGGGCCAGTCTGGAATCATCCAGTAGCTCCAGATTGCGATGGCAACGGTAGCGGCACCTTCGATAATGAAAATCCATCTCCAACCACCATATCCAGCAATCCCGTCCATGTGAGCGATAGCATAAGCCAACAAACCACTAAATGCACCAGCGACGATACTGGCGGAGAAGAAGAGGTTGAAGCGCCACTGCAACTCGTGTCGGCAGTAATACATGCTGAGGAGGTACACACATGCCGGAAAGAAGCCAGCCTCAAGACCACCGATTATAACGCGGCATGCAATCAGCCCAGCGAACGACTGGGTGAGCCCTTGGCAGATTGTGACGATACCCCAAGCTGTCATGATAGCCGAGAGAAACAGCGACGGTCGCATATTCTTGAGTAAGATATTGCAAGGTACTTCGAGGAGGATGTAGAGAATGAAGAAGGTGAATAGCGCGATGTTATAGTCTTCGCCCGACATATTGAGGTCGGCTTCCAAGCCTTGGATTCGAGCATTACCGATGTTGATTCTGCACATCAGATCATGTTAGAGATTATGCCCGAGCATATTCAGAGGAGGTCTTACCGATCTATGAATGCGCAGAGGAAGAGCAGGAAGAGGATCGGGACAAGATTTCGGTCAACCTTGCGAATTACCTTTTTCTCGAGTATCGGGTCGAACGCTTGTTGTTCGCTCTTGGGGTTTTCATCCTGGCTGATCCTAGGACCGCCGACCTCATCGATCTTGTCTGACATGGCGGCAAAGACGTTGGTGTTGGTAAATAGGTAAGGAAGCGGCTGTCAAATGATGGAGGGAAGAGCTCGAGATATTGACTTGAATGGTCGAGATATGGAAATGCGAATGGGACTAGGATCTGCCATGGCCTTTCTCTTTTAGCAGGGCCAACACCTTCTTATCTACTATGGAGTCAGGGAGTATCACAACAATCTCCCAGGATTAATTACCCCGCGCCTCGGATTCAACGTTGTCCAACCTGCAATAACCGATTCCGGGGTAATCCGGGGTAACAAGGGATTGATTGGAATGAGTGTGCGGGGGTTGAAACCGGGGTTGGAGCACTGCACCAGTGCACACCATCAGAAGATAGAATAAGTTTAGTTCCCTCGGATGATGTCCATCATTAGCTTTAAAATAAAGCCAAGACGTGAGAAGCCTATCAGGTTGAGGCAATGGATCAAGAGCAACTCGGTATTGGTTCCGATTTTCCGATACTCGGAAATAAGCCGAAAATGGTGTTACAGAGACCAAGGATCTCGAGGGAACTACGACTGATGCTAACGGTTGGAGATAAATCTCAGTGGGCATTAAGCTTCGTCTAACAGCCCACCTTGAAGCTATTTGCTACCGCGCAAGTTGATTAAGGTTAACAACCCCGATGCGGGCATCTAGTCTCCCAAAAGTACTTCCTTTACTACAGCACCGGCAACTAAGAAGTCCATCATTCTAGTATATGCAATACCAAGCCTTCTGGTGACAGTCTCAGCGGGGGTGATCCCCACTACAAGAAGAGCAGAGTCCGTTTCCATCTCGACCGGGCCATCACTGCGGCTTATCCAGTCTATAGCAGACGAGAATTCTGTCTCTGTGCTTGGCCCACTTTCATTTGTGGTGGAAACAAACTGGTTGCTGCCGTTTAGAGTAGCCTGTGGCTTCAGAACCTGATGTGACCTATTCTGGACTAAAACCCAGGGCACTTTTGGTCGGTCCCTTGAGTTGAGGCGCAGAAGGCGAATGTATCGAGTCCCTTCTGGGAGGTTAAGCTTACTGTCTCGCTGAGCATCAACCACCATTTTCATATGGAAGTTGATTGATCCCCGAGCGGTGGAGAAATCATAGTTGCGCCATACCTCCAATGATGGATCATTTGCTTTCCGCTGAGACCACTGCGTAATATCAATGTCCAATGCCAGTCCGGACAATTGAATCACTCGTATGTTTGCCATATCGACAACAAAGTTCGAAGAGGAAGCTTCATCGCCATTGTTTAATGTTAGTGTGCTCGTTATTGTGCTCGTTAGTGAGTAGAACTACCCGTTCGGTCCTTGATACCATACCTTGGGGTCAGGAAGCTTGAGGTGCTTCGCATAGCTCCGGCGGTGACTAAAGAAGATGATAGGATCATAGTCGATTGTTCCAGGATGGCTGAGCCAGGCCCAGTGAGGCCATCGACGAAGAGTTGATGGAGGGGAATTGAAGTCGCGCAGTAGAGTAGGGTTTATGGATGAGTGCCTCCAGAGCAGGGCTCTGAGGAAGTTCTCATCGCCGACTGGCATAGCATGGACAAACTCGACTTGGTATAGTTTTGATAGTCGATCTTGCAGGCCATCAAATGCCCGCAAGCGGTCGCTGGGGAAGGTAAGGTTGCGATTCGAGTAGAGAGTGGCACAAGTCTGGTATGTATGCCTCAAACTGTGTCACTGGGTCGCTATTCGTAGTGGAAAATCATACTCTGCCCATTCATCCTGAGGAATTCAATCAGGATCAACAGCGTATGCCTCAATATGGGGTTGGGCCCAACTTTCTTTCGTCGTCATCTCGCCACAAACGAAAAATACCTGTTGCTTGCCAAAAACAACGTTCTTCTGGAAAGCAAATGCTCCTGCATCGTCCAAGCTCGAGTTTCCCAGGGAGACTCTTCCATGATTAGTGTGAGGTCCATTAATGAGGCACTTATTTCCAAGCCGCCAGGTAACACTTCCAAATATTGGTCGACATTTCTTGAGGATTTGTAGCTGGACCCTAGCAATCCTCCATCGACGCCTGACTCGAGCGAAACGATGGTACAGATACTACAGGAGTAAATCTGGTCCATCTGCGAGATCTGCTATGCTTTAATGTCAGGTTCATCTTGAGGAATGCACAAGGCGTCAATCCAGATGTATCGCTCTCCTAGACGCTTCGTGAAACCAATAGCGTCTTCAAAGGTTTGAGGAAGGTTACCTTCGAGAAGAGCAATTGGCTGTCTATCCATTGGACATACGTCGTCGCTCACATGATTTGACTCGGGTTCTAGCGCTTTTTCCTCAAAGGTGCGTGAGGCTGCGTCTCCCCAGACATAGGAGAGAGTGACGAAGGAGACAGAATGCAGCGTTTGCACAATTAGGCGAGACCCAACGTCGATTAATCTTAGACATGACGCCGAGAGCCCATGCAAGCCGCGACTCGACATTGCTTGCTGCTCGTTACAGGATTCATGTTTCTCTCGGCACGTTTCCAACCACGCTTTGATTCGCTGGTGATCTGCATACTTGGGGTGAACGAATTGAACTCCACCAAAAGAAATGTGGCGACTAACATTCTGACCATTGATTCGTGTTTGGATCCAGCCCAAGTCCTGCTGCTGCTGCTGCAGCGAGAGCGAAATCCGAAGATTTTCTTGAATTGATTTTAGATCGCTGGTCATCGATTGTCCATCCTGGAGGGTTTGGATGATGGACTGGCAACTGGCGCAGCAGTTCTTGTTTCCGTCACGAATGGCCCTCCAAAAAAATCGGCAGAAAGGACAAGTGCTCCTGGAGGCGAGATCCGTCGTGGAGTCGACCCGGAGAATTCTGCCGGGATCGGGGGGGTTGGTAGAAGATTCAAATGGCTTCAATGGCTTTGGTATTTTTGCAGCCTGACAGTCGCCGCACAGGCTGGTACACCTACTAACTTCCCTGGAAGGGAGGGGCCGCGCCTCAGCGGGCTGATTACTGGTTATCCAAGCGCCCACAAATCCCCTCTCAATTCCATGTCAGTTAATTTTAGAACACTGATAGAGCTATACGTGCCTGTCATAGGTAGATGGTAATAGACCAACAGACCCGGTTTCTACTTATAACCTGCGCCTCTTTCGACAGCTTCACTATCTATCCATTCCTAGTTGAGAGGCATATATCCCTTTTGAGCGTTGTCTCGATTAATCGTCTGTGAATGTAATTGGCCAGGGGTTTTAAGGCAGAGCTGGCGAACCACTAATGAGGCCAGCCGACAGGCGGGACAAGCGCCATAAATGGATGCAAGTACCTCGGTAGTTCGACTACCATCGAATGAGAGCGAACAGCATGCCTGCGGCTGAATGCAACAAGGAAAACAACCTTGCTGCGTAACGGAAGATGAGGCGGGCGCCGTCAGCTTGCAATAAAACCCCTCTCTTAACGCAGGGGCTGACACTGTAAATTCTTCTGCAAGCTTTACAAAAGACTTGAATTATTCTTTTTACTCCGCCTGAATCAACCGTTTTGCATCATGAACTACTCCCATCGCCAAAGAGATAAAGAGGAGCGTCAGCAGAAGGGTCACGGCGACAAAACTGACCGAGATGTCACCGAAAGCGAAGACGACGAAACAGGCAAGGTCGCAGCTCTTAGATATCCCCAGCACAATAGTCCATCCCGCCAATACTTGGCATGCCCCTTTGAAAAATATGATCCAGCTCGGTATGAGAGTTGTCGAGGCCTTCGAATTACTAGCATATCATATGTCACGCAGCACATCGCAAGACGGCATGTGCTGAGAGACGTCCTGCTAAGAGAGGTGCGGAGAGACGATGGCCCTGAATCAATTACAACTACTTCAATAAAAAAGATATGTGTTTATTGCCCACGCTGCCGCCACGAATTTCGTGGGCTGGATGCACGGGAGAGGCTACACGACCATATGCTGAGTTGCAAAGCTAGCAATCAACCAGGCACTATTGAACAAACGGGGGTTTTATTGCCTAGAGAATTCGAGGAACTCAAATCGGAGGTCAGGAGCGTTTCTGGCAATGTCGCAAAGTGGAATGTCATATGGAGCAAGTGTTTTCCAGCGACATCACCGCCACCGCTATATGGCAGCAATATGGTTTCCCAACTAAAAGCACAGCAAATACTTCAACAACTTCTAAGCTCGTCTGCTGCCAACCCTTGGTCATCTTCAGAGATTAAACAGTCCAAAATCGAAAAGGCTTTGGGTGCAATCTACTTTGGCTTACCGTTTACCGAAATCGAACCTCAAATCAACGACGCGAGCACTATCACTACCGACAACATTTCCACTGTTTGGAGTCAAAGCGAAAGCAATGATGACTCGAATGATGGTTCCGCCACTGTCCCTGAATACTATGATGACCTAGGAGATATGGACCAATGGACACGCCCTCTCAGGACTGCAATTTATGATGTTGATCACGATACAGTCCATGACATCTTGAGGAACTCTTTTGATAAAGTCGCCGTTGGCGAGTATTCCTGGCTGTTGGAGTTGAAAGCATTAGGCATTTCGACGGATGACATTGCTGATGAACTACTCGAAAGGGCCCAGCATGGGCCATGGATATATTCCAAGATCGACGTGCACGATGTTGGATCGTATTTTCACGATTTTCATCTCCCAGGATGTCTCCACACCAGCAAGGAGGATGGGGCAATGCTGGCAGTCCCGTTACCTCCTAGCCAAGGTAAGATGAGTATCAAGAATGACCGTGATAACTCAATTCGTGAGACTATTGCGTACTGGTGCGGTATCGGAGGGGTGAGTCCTATGCCCGACGGGTCGTATAACCTCCAGTTTGGATCTGTTGTCTTTGAAAACGCCAACACGACTGCAATCCCCTCTCTGATGACTAGCCAATCAGCCCAAGCTGCTCCATATGTTTTACAGCATCTGCACAAAGCCATCGGTGCCCTTCAGGAGGTTGGCGGTTGTTGTGACTCTTTCAGCTTTCTCGCAAGACAGGAGTTCTCTGTTGAGCTGAAACGAGTCTGCCCTGACTTGGCATCAGAGCCTGGACCTTTGGTATCACTCACAAATTCAGAAACTAGTATCAAGGGTTTGAATCCACAGCTGCGGGACTCACTGATGGCCCAGTTCCTTTCTCTCGCCTTTTTTCTTTACGCACAAGGTCATTGCGAGCCCTTTAGGCCTTTCTTTCTGGACACTCCATTGAAACGTATACTCCTGATAGGAAACCAGATTTGGGGTCCATCCTTTACTGGGCCATGTATACTTGCGACTCCCGTGGATTTGAGCTGCTTTGGTGAGATGATTCAGCGCCGAGTCTTTGCCTTTCAGTACTTTGATAGTTTCGAAAGGTCGAGGGTGTTTTCAGATTGTGATAAGAAGTTCGACTTGAAGGTATGTCCTGAAGATTTGCTCGACACATGGGGTCCCGGAGATTTTATTGTACCCAAAGATGACACCCAGAACATCCACGCAATATCGATTGGTGGTGGCCTGATTACCTCCGACTCGACAGAATCAGAAAGTCACCAATCGCCTGTTCTACATTGGAGCCCTGTATCAAAAAACAACACCAAAATCACCTCAACCTTCCCTCGCCATGAAAAAATGATCATCGGCTCAAGAGTCTCGATAAACCAAGCCTGCAGAATGTCCCCTCAAGAACAGGTTCGGAAGTCTATTCCATGGTTGAAGGACCTGGGAACATTCCCAAGCTACTGGGAAGTATCTGAAAGGCAGCTAGGGCTTGGTTTGCAGGGCGGGCAAAGCGCTGTGGGGATATTGAACTTCGCCCAGACGTGGGTGAAGAGACTGGGTCAGACCAAGAAGTCCAATATTCTTGCCAAGAGATTTCTTTCTATCGCCGATCTAGAAGGGCCTTCCGCCGTCCAGGTTAGCTTTTGTACTGGCATAGCCCGACGGGTGCGACTACGAGAGCTCCTCGCAGATGTCCTACCAGCCTATGTAGAAGACCTTGCTACCAAGCCTCGTTTCTGGGAGAATCTTCAGGGCTCTGACATCCTGGATGTATTGCGACATGAAGACTTCAGAGCACATTATCAAAGGCTAGACCGTGAACTACAAGCAGAGTTGGAGACGCTTGCTATCGCCGTCCTGTTTCTATTGCAAGACACAGGTGTAGATAGGAAGGGCGAGAACTTTGTTGTTGGTTACATCCCTCAAGGAGTGGCAGTTCAATGCTTCGAAATTCCCATCGAGAAGCAGAGCTTCTGGGCCCGAATACTTGCCGACTCCGAGGAAGTAGCGACTTTCGCTTATGTGGCGACGAGGTGCTTCGAAACGGACCTAGTCAAATGTCGAGGTCCGAGGGAGGAATGGAGGAACACAACATCCCTCTTCTCGACCGAGGTATCACTTTGTCAAGATCGCATGCAGGGAATGATAGCGCAACAGCAAACACCTTGGACTCTGAAGGACTCTGAGGCGTATCTTATCGGGCGAGTCGACGCACCTTTACTCGTACGAGTGATTCGACCCAACATTCAGGACGAGCCAGAATTGCTGGTATCAATGAGTACAATTATTGCTCCGTTTTTGAGGAGGTGGAGCAGGAAGCAAGGGTATAAGAGGCCGTGGCTGTTACGAGAGAGCAGAGCTATAGATCATCAGCATCAGATGGCTGAGAGTGTTGTTGTGACTGCGGACTTTCAGGGTTTGTAGCATATGAATGAAAGAATGCCGGTTCATCTTTTTGTAATGTATGTGTATTGGGAGTTTAGGACCGGATATAGCACGGGGATAGTGTGCTAGAGGTTTGCTAACCCGAGACAGAAATAGCTGTATGTTTCTCACTTGCTGGACATCTCCAACATATGTGAGATAACACTAACAAGATTGAAATCTAGCCTAAGGTACTTCGAGTGACGTAGTCCGCGAGTTGGATACGCCTGCTGAAAAGTTCTATACGATCGATGACTCTAGGCGTAGCTTAACCTTATCATATCTGCCGAGCCGATCTACCTCCTGGTCACGTGCGGGTCTGGTGATGCCCCTCTCTTGCCTCAAGCATCCGATCAATTATATCATCACCGTCAGAAAGTGACACCACGTCTTGCCTTATAACCAGGTACTTCTCACGTTTCTGTCGCGCGTAACTACAAGCCAAATTCATTGCAATTCTTGAAACCGACCCATTCTCACCTCATACCCAAATCACCAATTTTCACTTCCCCCCGCGTCAGATCAAACCCAAAAAAGCAAAAAGCAAAAAAGCACACCACAACGCGTCATGCCATTGCCAGAACCACGCGAGCTCACTCCTCGAGTCTGCGAGTTGGTAGCCTGTGGCGAGGCAAACACAGATCTTTTGAAGCGCTGCTCAAGCTGCAAGGCAGTGTATTACTGCGGAGCATCGCATCAAACAGCTGACCGAAGCCATCACAAAAATGGCTGCACCATCGTCAAAAAGGCACGCAAGGCGGTAGAGAAGGAGGAGCAGGAACTTCGCGACCACCCTGGAGATATGTTTATGCCTCCGAACATCTTTGAGAATGGCGTTGGGCATTTTTGGGGCATTCATGAGACGCGCGCGTATATGCGTGCGCGATACCATATGGTCGACGTGCTACTTCAGGTTTATGGCGCGCCAGGTGGTAAGATTGATGCTGTTCAAGAGGCCTTGGATCATCTGCTTGATATGCTTCATCTTTGTCGGGGCGACAACATGGGTGTGAGGGATCTTGTGCCGCATTTGTACATCCGGCTCGACAGGGATCAGGAAGCCTACGATTTCGTCAAGTGGTACGCGACCACTGGCTCAGAGTCAAAGTATGATTGGGGCGACATGGATCAACCATATCTCGATATCAGAAACGCGGATGTCCTGGAGGAACCTTTGGAGACTTGGTCGAACGGAAAATATCTCAGCCTGGGCCACGCGGCCGCTGTGACGCTCATCAAAGTGAGAATCCTGCTTGACCTGCAGTCTGCTCAGAACACCGCACGAGCTCTCAACGGCACTATCCCACCAGAGATCGTGGGGCTCATTCGTGGTGAACTTGTCGGCAGTGCTGTAGCGTCGCGTTCTGACATCCTCTTGGGCAGCACAGAACATCTCTCTAAGCTTATCAAGAAGGTTAAGGACCAGATTGTCAAGCTTTACAGATCTGTGAATGAGTATAACCCTCACTTCTGGCGCTTGATGTTGAGTAGTCCAGTATCAGCCGCATCTCAAAGACCTGGAATGTATTCGCATGAAACGAAGGAAGAAGCTTGTCTGATGATTGGATATTGTCTTGCATCTTGGGTTGAGACTCCTGGAGTATTTCAGTTGATGAAGGAATTGAGTCAGACTGTTTAGAAGATTGGAAGGTTGGATTTTGGAATTGTATTAAGGCTATCAGGCTGTATCATAGGCGCTGCATTATATCATTAAACTAGAATACAAACTGTATCAGCATTAGCTCATGTGAAACAACTTTCCTGAATCCACACTGAACGGCGAGAAGATCCAGATGGGCTCAGGATAAACTTGGGATAAAATCTTAGTCTAGAGGAGAAGTCCCCCAAGTTGACGGGGATCAAGATAACTGATAACAAAGTATATATTGGCTTCTCAAAGCTAACGTTTAACTGTAGCGTATCCAAGTCTCTGAGCTGTTACCCAAACGGCCGCTGTCTGTCGATGTTGTCTTGATTTAAAGTCGGCTACATACGCTAGACTTAGAAGTTAAGCCAATGAAGCAGAATTTGCTGTGGCGAGCGGCCGTCTATCTACATAATCTACAACTTAGAAGCCATAAAATCTGGAAAAGATCCTTTCCATAACCCGCCAAGCTTTGAGCCGTCCGTTATCTGGCTGGAGATTATTGGGTAGTTTACTAGGATATTGACTTTCCTTACCCTGGAGATTTCAGTCAGTTATCCGGCCAGAAAGGGGTTTCTCCCTGAAGACCTATGTAAACAACAGCACTCCCTCCGGTTTTAACATTAAAAATCGGGAGTCAAAGCCCCATAGGGTAGGAAGCCACACATAGTGTGGCTGGTGCACCAGCCTCACTCAACTAGATCCTTGCAAGCTGAAATGCACCTACATACAGAACGGGCGATCAGGCTGCGCACTCTGGCAGCTCATCCAATGATAAATGAAGCTTACTAAGGGGCCTAATTGCTTATCTTACGGACTGAAAATTAAATCCCTCATTTGCTTGGTTTGAGTTCCATTTTCAATGGCAAAACTCCCCGGATACTCGATCTCCCCGACTTAATCGACCGAATCCACTATTCAGCTTACTAGATCCTACCTTGAATTCTCTACTTTGATTTGTTGCACTGCTGAAATGCCATTGCAAAGCAAGAGAACAGTCAAGGTCCATGAGATCACCGCTGGTACTACCAAGCAACAATATCTTGACTTTGTTAAGCATCTTTGCATCAAGCCGCAGACGACCTCTAAGTCTCACTTCTCTCGGGTTACTAAGCACTTTAAAAGAAAGTCCAAGTCACTATTGGGTAAAACCTCAGCATCAACACCTGAGGAAGACGAAGACGCAAAGCCGAAAGATGAAACCGAATTGACTTCACCACCTTCGACTTTAAAAGGTAAAGGGGAGCAAGCTGCACCACTGCTCAACAATTCTCAGCCGACTGTAAAGCGTTGGATAGAAACAACTCTCTGTCTCCAGAATGGCCTGCCAGTTGGGACAATCTCTTTCGAGAGTGAGTCCTTAAAGAATGAAGCTCTAGCCCGACGTGGAAAGGATAAGAAGTCGTGTTGGAAAGACTGGGTTGTCGAGGACAACTTCAAGGGAGTCACCATTCTCTATGAAGAGCCCAATGCAAAGTTCGAGTAAGCTTTTTCTTGCACAGGGCTATTGATGCAAAGCTCTAACTCTCTTCAAGCATCTGTGCGGTTCACGGGCTGGGCGGGAATGCTATTGATACCTGGACTACCGATCGTGGTAAAATGTGGTTGAGAGACCTTCTGCCGGAGCACCCAAACTTCGAGAACAGTCGCATCATGACTTTTGGCTATGACTCGGACCTTACGGACAGAAGTACCGTGATGGAACTGGAGAACTGGGCCGACACTCTTCTACGGTCTCTGAACGAAGTGCGAACTGGGGACGAGGTAGCTTCTATTACTTGAGGGGTGTTCGATAAGCACATTGCTGATCAGATAAATTTAGGAGAAAGCACGTCCTCTGTTATTCGTATCTCATTCTTTGGGAGGACTGGTTGTACGAAAGGTAAGGTCCCACGAACATATCGGTGTTCGGCAACTGACCGTATTTTCTAGGCTATGGCACAACTCCATCCTACTTCCAACTACACAAATATCACAATATCGCAGTGCGGCATTGTCTTTCTTGCGACACCGCACAGTGGTTCGACAAAGGCGGATTGGAGCAACTTTTTGGTCGCGACCGCACATACAATCGGAGGCGTCAGACCAGAGACTGTCAGAATACTTCAGGCCTTCAACACTGCTTCTGTTTGGGATACTGCAGCATTCTTCGATCTTGATCCATGCCCACCCTTTCGATGCTTTGCAGAAGGCCTCAAAATGCGGGTTAAAGGCACCAATCAACACGTAAGTCCTAGTGTCGTCTGCTGCACGATTGCTGACTCACACTGTCTGTAAAGATTGTGACACAGGCATCCGCGACCCTCGGAACACGCCAGGCGTACATGATCATGGATGTTGACCATAGCTCGATCTGCAAGTTTGAGTCAAAACTGGGACCTTTCACGACGATCAGCATGGAACTGTGGAATTTGCTTAATGACGTGACCACTGGTGGCGTCCAGCAGCCCCATGCTCGACCAGAGCGCCGTGTACCAGCCCACGATGAAATAGACCAGTAGATAAGTCCTAATATGATCGGTAGATGTTTGGCCAGCCACGCTTTCTTGCCCATGCATATCCGCCCGATCGAGGTTTCTGGTGGGAGGGCACAGAAATGAACGGTATTCAACATCAGCTCACATCGACCAAGCCTTTCTTTGGGCGATCCACGGAGCTGGATACTCTTCAATCGTCGTTAGCTGGAGGTGGAACTCACCCAAGTCTCACTGTAGTAAAGGGTATTGGAGGAATAGGGTACAAGTCTTGAGTACCCTGGCTTTTGATACAGGATACTAACGTCCCTGTAGCAAAACCGAACTACTTCTTCAGTTCGCAGCTAGGCAGAGAGACCGCAGAAATGTCTTCCTCTTAGGCCCCCAAGACGGAGAGACACTCGACAGTGTTCTCTCCAAGCTGTCAACAAGAATTGGGTTCGACATGATTGAGAGTCCGGCCGATAATCAGGAACGATGGAGAAGCACTCCCATGACTGAGCGTATTCAGATCTTCATCGAATGGCTGGGACATAGGTGCAACAGAGATTCGCTCTTTATCATAGACGATCTTGAAGCTTTTGGATACTCTCAAATCCCCATCATCTTGAAGTACCCAGCACAACACATCTTGGTTTCCACCAGGGACTCCAACTTGAAACGTGCGGATCGAGCCTTTCGAGAGCTCCGACTGTCTCCTCTGAGTCACGACGATACAATAAGAATCTTGACAAGTACGCTTGCGGGTCTCTCTGCAGACTCGGCCTTTTGGGATAGTCTTGATTCTATCGCTTGTACAGTGCAAGGCCATCCTCTTGCAGCTCGAAATGTCATTCCTTTTATGATCGAATATCTGGCAACCTATGACAACCCAGGTGCCAAATTCTCAGACCTCTTCAAGATCCAAGACCCAGAGGAGCGTAAAGTCTTTCTTCAGTTCAGCTTCGAAGGTCGGTCGCTCTGGGAGGTCTTTGAAAGTTCTCTACAGCGTCTTGAGCTTCAAGAGAACCACGAGAGCGCTGGCAACCTACTTCAAATACTCCCTTTCTTGTCTTGCGACAAAGATTGTGTAAACGACCTTTGGAAGATGAACACTCGTTGGTTATCTGACTACGAAGAAGAATTCCCCGATATTGCAGTACTAAAGTCTGGCTTCACGGTAATATCGAGCTGGCTATTTAAACTGCGTGGCGTCTCATTTTATCTTTGGCAAGACTTACTTCGCCCCCCCAAGTCGCTCAATATACATCCTCTTATGTCACAGTACATGCTGTTACATTTAGCCGATCAGAAACGAGTTAGTATTTTGAGGCAGGTCTTACACCTCTTGTCTAAATTGGAAGCGAGAGGGGCAGATAGAGAGTCCCAAATCACGCCACACGTGCTACACTGCATTCAGGTCTGTCAGGGACTGGGTATCTCACTGGAAAGCCTGAGACTCCCCAACGACATGATGAAGTGGGTCACGTTCTTCTTTGATGATCAAGAAACAGAGGAAGCAGATCCATTTGCTGACCCTGTCGAGCTTCCTTCTGCTGCAGTAAACAGGTTCATCATGAACTGTATGCAGACCAAAGAGAAGCTGAAGGAGGGAAACGTCTCAATGATCGATGGAGCGACGATCTCAGGAATGCTGATAAACTGCAAGAAAGCCTATAGAGAGCTGAAGATCTTGGCGGAAGGTCACAGTGGAATACCCGACCTACTCAAACCTGGACTCGTAGATGCCGTTGAACTGCTTCAAGATATGGTCAGATTGCGTAACATGTATCCGGAGTTCATCGACGAGCTCCAGGAGTTCCGACGAAAATTACAGGATGGTTGAACGGCTATATTCAGCACAACTCATAGCAACTAAATGATATCTCACTTCAAATTGTTAAAAGTAGAGTAAATTGATTGACTCATTGGCTGGATTCTCCGACAATATATATTATGCCCCTAGGTAATTGAATTTACGAGCAGTTTTATTTATGGCGACCCCCGCAGAACAGGAGGGATATGATTGGTAGGGAAGAGCTGCGAATCGACATGTGACCTGTGTCCTATAGCGGCTGACGGCAACATTCAGCTGTCTGGGAGTAACGTGTTCTCTCTCAACTTCCGGGAAACCTCCATCATCCGTCAGATCGCCCGTCAAAAACATCTATCAGTCAAATCAATACTAACAAAGTCACCAAAGCCATCGGGCTCATCTCTCTTGACTGCTTCCGTTATCGAGAAACAGACATCGTGTTGACATCATAATCATACTGCAGCTCTGCGCAAGGCTGCCTCAATATGGAAGCCAGTGAAGAAGGCTTATTTAAGTTCTCTCAACTTCTTCGATCCTTCAGTTGTGAACTGGTTCCTATTGACCTTTTCGTGCGAGCATGTGAGCCAAAGGCGACTTGGTCATCAACTGGAGAGATCATCGAGAGACTTCCCCTGCAGGCGGGAGTTCCTGAATGGCTTGTGGATTTCTACAATGCCAATAGACCTTTTTTCCAAGGCAAAGTTTCGGAAGCACACCATAGTTACTTCGAAATCAGCATCAAAGCCTCCGTTGCCTACTTCCGAGTGACGAATGAAGGACAGCCTGACCTTGAGCCTGGCCAGGACATGTCAATAATCAATGAGCGCGTCGTGTCTCTAGAGCGCTTGGCTATTACCTTTCAGGCGTTTCCGTCAATCAATACCGAGATAATAGGAGAAGAGATGAGTGACAGGTTTATGGATGTTGTAAAGACTTCGATACTGCCTTTACTATCGGGAATTACAGACGCAGACATCGAAGACTGGTTCCTGCCTCGAAACCTCAAAGCGTGAGATTGTCACTATCCCAGTTAGTTGTTACTATTTAACACAATTGTATTATAGGAGAGAAGGCTACCTGTTATCGCTCTTTGAACTTCTGTACCAGGTTGTGGATATTCTAGGAGTCGATTACCCTGCCCTCCCATTATCGTTACCGAGGTGGATATTGAGCCTCGTTACTGCAGAGACATTGAACAGCTGCGGAGCGCTTTTCAGTGAAATTTCCGAAGTCTTCGATGCAGTTCAAAACAGTAGCCATATGCCACTAGAGCTTGGCTTCTTATCAGCCCAGTCAAACACCGACGAAAGAAGTAATGCCATGGTTGGATACATATTATCGATGTTTTTATCAAACGAAGTCGTGACAGCTGGAGACAGAACATCAGATAACCGTCTTGCGGAGGCTTTCTCCAACTGGCAGCCTTTGTCACGCATTAATCCATCTTCTATGGAATGTTTGGGAGCAACAAGTTTCTGCAGTCTAACAAAGCTGGGCGCGATCCAAATTCCACTCACTGCCGCGCTAGATACAAAGGCATTACATGGACTATTGCTGGCTCGAAGGAAACAATACAAGGAAGCTACAAAAATCCTGGAATCGACAACCAAAGACATTATTTCCCAATACGGACAAACGTCCATGCAACTTGGAATAGTTATAGCTGAGCTGGCGAATTGCTACAACATTCTCCGCCAGGAGGAGAAAGCAGAAGTCTGTCTCAAAACAACACTGGAGTCGAGAAAGGGGTCCAGTCTCATGCTGCGTCGCGATGGAACCTATCTAAGCTTAGCACTGGCCGACTCTTTTATAGGACGAGCGAGATACAACGAGGCCCTGCCAATACTACAGAGAATCATCGAAGCCTTCGATATATCAGCAACATCCCGCATGATGAGTGCACTACGTCTTGCTAAATGTCGACGTAGGATGCGCAGGAATCCCCATGAAGCCTTTGAGCAAGACAGTCCACTGTGGGCTGGCTTTGCGTTACTGGCAGATGTACCCGGGTTTCTCACGACAGAATACATTGAAGAGTTAGCTTGCAGTATCTCAGAAATGTCTCGAGTACAGGTGGGGCAGTCTGAAAATGTCTTGCAGCTAATAGAAGCGGTTAACCGCGTCGTGGGTAAAGTAAGCTCCCTCACAAACAGCCCATCTTGGGAGTGGTATACGGAGCTACAGGAAGAATATTCTGTCCAGGTCGCAAGCCACACAAAGCCAGGCAAGGGAAAGCAAAAGGAAGAAGGTGCAAATATTAAAGAGATGGATGACGACGGAAGTCCTTCTGCTCCTTCTCCTTCTCTTGACCTAGATTTTGACATTGTCAACAACGCAGAGCCTTGGTCGGAACAATTAGTCCTGGCACTTGGCAAGATCCCTAGACCCTCGATAGTAGAGTGTTAAGCTAACAAAATTCTTCAGATGGTGCAGGTGTTTGTGCTCTCTCAAGTCTTCTGATCTTAAAGCGTCTCATGCGCCGAATCAGGCAACTCGAAATAGTTCACCCTGACGGCCCGGCCTACTTGAGTCGTTCATATCTGGGAATGAGACACAGAGAGCACAACATGGATATGCTCAAAGAAGTCTTGGACTCAGATAGAGTTGATGAATTTCTCCCCTGTCACTACTTCGACTATATAGCTGGGACATCAATTGGAGGGTAAGCAAGAAGCACTTTCTACTATATCATCAGCTGACAGGCTTCTAAGTCTGAACAGTATCATGCTGGGAAGGTTACGGATGTCAGCGGATGAAGCTATTGATGGCTTTATTCACTTCGCCAATGCCGTTTTTGGCCATCCCCGAGTGTTCCACGCCGCACCAACGTTTTTCCCCTTACGAACTAAGTATTCATCTTCCAAAGCTAGTGAGGCCTTCAAACAGATCATGATAAGCAGCAAGCGTAATGGGATGAAAGGAAGGTTCACACCCGAAATTGAGACTCTTAAAGACAGATATTTCACCGAAGATCAAACTTTCAAAGACGGTGGACGCTATCCTCGAACGTGAGCGAAACCCTCCTATCCCCATTGACTACAAACTAAAGTTTCCAGTTTTGTTATTTCTACTTTTGCTGAAGGAGGTCCCGCAAGACCATACATGTGGAGCAGTCATGGCGTTCCTGATGGCGAACTGGGGACCAACAGCTCAGCCGCTATTTGGCAAGTTGCATGTGCCATATCTGCCCGTCCACTCCACTTCGACCCGATAGAGATCGGGGGTATCAAGTACATAGATGGCGACTTAAAAGTCTCTCATTTCTTGGCTCTCACTCTAGATCAAGTCAACGTTTACGCTCAGCACGAAAAGGTTCCCTCGGTTCTTCTCAGTATTGGGGCAGGTATTCAGGTAGAGATTGAGGAAGCCTTTGGACCTGGAGCAGAAGAGTTTATCCGACTTGGACTTCAATCATACAGTAAAGCTTACCAAAATTTAAAGACCTACGCCAAAAGAACAACTAACACAAAGGCCAAGTATGCCGAGAGCACCAAGCCAGAGCAGGCATACAGACTTGATGCTGGAGAAAATCTGCTTGAATTCCCCTTCGACGACTGGCGTCCTGTCAACAATGGAAACTCAACTATCCAAGAGATCACGGATATCACAGACACCTATCTCCGCCAAGGGAAAGTGAGAGACAGCATTAACAGTATTGCGAAAGAGGCTGTTCGGATTCGACGTGCACGGGCAAAGACAAAACAATGGGTAGCCTTTGCAACGGATGTAGTCCCCGTTTGCCCCTTGTGCCGTCTTTCAAAATGATATGAAGAGGAGGCATATTTATGAGATCATCTGGGAAATTCAGAGCATGATTCTCTTCAAGCCAAGAGGGCTCTTGAGAAGAGACGTTGGGACGAGTATGTGACCGCTGGGAGAATAAAAGCCAAAGATTTGAGTTTCTGCAAATGGGGCCCTCATCATACTTCAAAATTCGAATTTCGTTGGTTTGTGTTTAATCTTCTTCATTGTACTTACTTGATATAACTAGTGCAAGAATCCGATCTTACTTATTCCAAACCGCTGCCAGCATGCCTGTTTTCCAATGACAGTTATAGTACATAAAAGATTGATCCTTCTTTCGTAACACCATGAGCTCATGCCAAAGATTAAGATTGGCTTCCTCGCCTTCCCGGTCCATCCGATGAAAGTGATTGATCTGTGTACCAAAGATCTCCTTGTGCTTAGGCGTCACAGACCATTTCTCAAGACGTCCAAGCGACTCCCACATACTGATGCTCCATGTCTTGCCGACTGGATTGCCATCATCATCCTCTATACGCATGTATCTATTTGAGAAGCAGCCGAAGGACTGACTGTTCTTTGTAAGCTCTCCCATACCGCTATCGAGAGTTGTTTTGATCTCGGCTGGTGTACTGTTCTCCCAGACTTGCCCTGATCGGATAAGACAGAGGTTTTCGTGAGGTTCAACAGTAAGATGAAGCAGTTACTCTCAGTATTCGTCGACAGCATCTGCGCCAGAGTCGTCGTGTAGTATCGCAGCATCGCCCGCCAGCCTGTACTCAGATCCGCCGAGTGCCCATCATCCGGACGAACCATATCGACAGGCTGACTGATACCCGTACACGCATCAGGGTACCTGATCAAAGTACCCCCAGCAGGAGGAGACTTCCTACAGCACTGGAGAGGATGGCTATATAGATGTTGCCCATCTCTACATCAATGGATCATGTCAATGTCGCTCATCATTTCTTTTCCTCTACTAATCTTACATGGAACTTCCGCCGCTTCTAGGGCAGTAACACTGGGAGACACTTGCCAATATCATCACAATCAGCTTCCCTACCTATTGAACCGTGTACGCTACCATGAAGGGTGACTCTCATCATGCAATGGCTCCCTCTGAGCAGTCAGCCATTGCCTCAGTGATTTCATGCGATCCCTCACCAGTTGACAAACCTCAAATTGAAAATGTAGACTATCAACAAACAAACCTGCGAAAGCGATTCACATTTGTATCAACAATTGCATTCGGTTTCACAACTATGAACTCCTGGGTAGCTTTCGCTTCAGGTCTGGCCGTGCCTCTCTCATGCGGCGCTGGACCAACTCTCATCTACGGCCTTCTCGTCGGCGGCATCGTCATGTCCATCCTCGCAACAGGTTACGCAGAGCTAGCTTCGGCGTTTCCATCTGTAGGTGGCCAGTATCACATCGTCTACATGACGTTCCCAGCTTCAACACGTCGATTCGCTGCATTCTTTACGGGGTGGATGTCGATTCTATATACTATGGGAGCTACAGCCTCGTGTAGTTTCTTTGTTGCGCAGTCGATCTTGAAGTTGGTAACGTTGTCGAATGAGACGTATGTTGGTCAGAGCTGGCATGTCTATCTCGTCCACATCTGCCTGTGTACCATCGCCTTCTTAGCTGCATCACGATTTCCAGCGGCTCTTGGAAGTATCGTTGTCTCAGTGTTTTGGCTTTCGATTATCGTCTTCATCGCCTCGCTCGTAACTCTCTTGGCCGTTCAAGAAGTTAAGCAGCCCAGCAAATTCGTCTTTACAGAATTCACAAACGTTTCTGGATGGACAAATGGATGGGCCGCTATGATCGGTCTCGCGAGCTGTCTGTGGGCTTATTGCGGTATTGATGCCATTATGTTAAAGTTAAAGTGTATTTTCTAACCTTGTGATTGACTTATAAACTTAACTCTGCTACTACCTTCCAATTGCCCTAAACCTTCTTTCTAACCTTCTTTCCTAATTATACTAATATATATATTATTATAAAACTTTCTTTAGTTAAGTTAAGCTTTTCTTATATATTAGCATTTCTTAATAAATTTAATAGCTATATACTGTACCTAGTTAGTACCTTTTAGAAAGTTATTTATTTAAGTAAATTACTAGCTATAGCTTAATTAGGGACTTAATTTAATACTAGTTTTTTTTTTTAATTAACTTTATTATTTTCTTAGCTTTAACCTTATTATAAAGAAAGGCTTTTAGTACTTCTTTTTCTTACTTAATAGCTTTCTTAGTCTTTTAAGAAAGTCTTTTA